GAGAGAGAGAGAGAGAGAGAGAGAGAGAGAGAGAGAGGACTTGTATCAGTTTGTCTAATTAACAGATCAATAATTTTTTGTAAACACGCGTTAGCTGTATTCTAGAAAATACCTTAATAAATGCTAATTTTTTAAAATTCAAGAGGGTGGTTTCTTCAGATTTTTAATGGTTCACATGTGGAGCATTATTGTTTTTAAAAGAAAGTCCGTCATTCAAAAAAAAAAATCTTGACACTAGATCTATATATAAGCATGTTTTGAGAACCTTGAGTGCAAAATGAGTTCACTATGAAAGTACATGTAATTTCTTGTACCGGCCCCCGGTACCAGTACCAGTACCAGTAACAAGTTTTCCCCACTTGAAAATGTCATTGGAGAGCTGTGACGTAGGCCATAATATGATTGTGTAGTACGGTAGGCAAAATGTGTGTGAGAAGCGATGCTATGAAAAATCCCATTTTCCGTGTGACTGAAATTTATAGAACGGTATTTTGTAAAATCCATGAAGAAAACTTTTTTTTTAAAATCAAGCCTCAACAGTTTTCGAAAAATATGATTGTGTAAAGACAAATTATTAATACAAACTGTTGTGAAAGTATCGATGACATTGATTCTACCGTTTAAGAGATATAATCTATTTGAGATAAGTTGCGCCAAGAATTTTTGACCTTACTATAATACATGTAGATCTAGTTCCATCTACTCTAACCACGCCATGCCGCCAGGCGAGGTGGGGAGTAGGGGTGCGGTTTGGGGTAGATGTTACCCAAGGACCTTAAAACAATTATTACATTGTACATGTACTATCATAACTTCCTTGATGTTACCCTAGACTATCTTAGCCAAGATTTTACCCTAATTGTGAGTCCTTAGCGGTGCAGATGGTCAGGATGTGTGGGTTTGAAATCTCATTAGTGCCCAGGGACCTTACAACTAAGTGTCTGTGAAAGTGCTCGGGTGGCGCCCCCAGCACGAAAACTTTCATGGCTTGACACTTGACACAGACTGAGAGAGAGGCCAGAGGTGTAAAATTAGTGTGGCCAATGCCTGCCGCCCCGATCGTAGGATACGGCCAGCCGAGAAAAGAGTTACTCGAATCCTTGTTATGCACGGGACGGGTGGCATTGGTTGGCTGTGCTTAAATTACACCAATGGGTGGGGCTAAGGGTAGAAACAAAGGGGCTTGTTCAAACGTTTCTGTGCCTAATAGGCCAAACAGTGGTCCAATGAGAAGCAAGAACTGGTGGTAATAAGTAGGACTGACGCATGCCTTTATCAGAGAGGATGATAGCACTTGAGAGATGTGAAGTTTTGACCACTGCTTGCCGACCGGACAAGCGATCCTTGATCCCACCGGTTGGGCCTCTGAAAAACCCCTCCACCCCCACCCCCTCCAAATCCTCCTGTCTGTGACGTAATATTTCTATAAGACGAAATTCATTTTCTGGCTCCATTAATGTGATATTCCGTCTTACACAGGTTAATCGACTACATCAGGCGCTCGTCAAAACAATGAAATCAAAGAAATCTGCATTTTTTTTCGACAGTTTGGCAATTTTTGTAGAATTTTTGTTTTTTGGCTCACCACCCTTTATGTCCATACATTTCTGTGTGGAGTGTTACTGAAAAACGTTGATTAAACGCACAAAAATGGTAAATTGTCACTTTCCAAGTACTCTCAAGCTTTGGAAATTAACAAACTTACGACAATTTTCTCGCTAATTTCATCTCTGAAACCAGGCGAACCCCATCTTTTTCAATGCAGATATCTCGACTTCAGCTCAAGATAGATATGCATTTTTTTCTCATCGAAAGAAAGATAAATAAACAAGCTTTAAGATGATACCAATAATTCCACATGCCCAAAACTTGACGAGCACCTGATTCCACCGCGTCCTGACACTAATGCGGCATCGTTCGCTTACGCGTAGATTAATTCGTTCTGCTCTCATGTGTAGGGCCTATTATAATAAAAGTCAATTTCTCTTCACAGCTTGCACATTGTGACTTGATTAGTACTTTTAGATGACTATCCCTCAAATGCAACGGGAAATCGTTAATAAGAGAGTAGTGATCTGGTGGTTTTTTCGGGGATGGGTGGGTGGGTGAG